TCAATCAATCAATCAATCAATCAATCAATCAATCAATCAATCAGTTTATTCACTCAATTCAACTATTTTCATCATTAACATACAAACATTTTCTTTTAACACTAGACATGAGTGAAAAAGGAGCCGGAAGATGAAAAACCTTGGATAAACCTGCTCCTTTCTCAATAATTACAATTAAAAAAAAATTCATGGCCACATTAAATCAAGAACATAAATTGCGATGTCATTCTCCTCATTGTTAACTCAAAAGTGTATAAGACTTAATCATTTTTTCCTTATACAGTATTTTGAATTGATTTAAAGTAGAACATTTTTTTCAAATCCTCATTCAAACTATTCCATAATTTTACTCCATAAACTGAAATGCACATTTGCTTTAAAGTAGTGCGCACAGTTTCTACTTTTGAAATCTCTATAAAAATATCTCTTTAAAAAAATAGGTGAAAGCTGCTAAACCAAAACCTAACAAAGAGTTATTACTAAAAGGTTTGCAAGAAAATTTGGTGTTCGTTAACTGAAATCGTGATGAGATCACATAAATGTTGAATCTGATTAAAATTGTGAAGAGAGTGGACCATACAACCCCAGATCTGGTTCTGAGCGAGCTTTGTTGCTTACGGCTGAAGCAAGCAGAGCAGCGCTGTACGAAACCGGAAGTTCCGGTCTATATATACAAGGATCTTCAGTGCCCGGTACGCCCTCTACAGACCTACAGCTGAATCGCAGACACTCTGAACAGCATTGCTTCCCTGATGTAATTATTAACGGTTTTATTTTGTGTTGTCATGTTTCAGGCATGTAACTAAACCTATTTTAATCAAGACATAATAATATAATTATAGATTATAAATAGAATAGATGAAATGAATAGATTATAAAAGTCAAGCCTTAAAAAGGAAAACTAAGAAAATGATGTGGTGTTTTCAAATCAGAATCTAAATGACGAATAAATTCCTTCATGTTTATAAGATGTGATACAGAGTATCATGCAGGGTATCACGTTACCTCATACCTATCCATCAAACCTTTGTAAA